ATGCCGATTCAGGCATGTTCTGTTTATTGTACGCAACACTGTGTTGAGAAACATCGAAACATGTCATACACATTGTGGCTATATCTACGGTGTCCTCATAATGTAGGCTTGTGTTCAGCAACCTCGAAACATGTCACCACAGACATTCTGTGGTTGTTACTGCTATGTCCTCATAATGTAAGCTTGTGTTTAGTAACTTCGAAACACATTGTGGTTGCATGTGTCCTCGTAATACTGTTTCTGACAGCGCTGGCTGAGGATTGTGCAAGATTAATTCGTGCTGAAAATAAAATTGAACGCTGCAGTCCGCATTATCCAAAATAATCCTTTGTAAGTCATTTAGAGAAATTAATCATTACACCAGGAACTTCCTATATCCTTCAACTCTCTCTTTAGTGTCTTTTCCCACTGAGAATTGATGCTAACTGCCAAAGATGTAAGTCGCTCTGGATAAGAGCGTCTGCTAAATGACTAAAATGTAAATGTAAATATATGTGTAAGTAAATCACAAGGACTATTTTTTTTTTAAATACTTTTTATCTGCTCCTGTAAAGTTGAAATGTAACACACCTTAACTGGACGGAAGCCCTCCAAGTACAAGGCTACAATTCCTAAAGAACCTCTCAATAACCTCTCATAACAGAGCAGAATGCCTTGCCCTAAACTGCACCCACAGAACTAACATCAACATACATGATAGTATTTTATGGTTGAGGGTTGAGGAGAAATGTACTTCTCTTCTAGTCCTTTTATAAAACATTTGTGTGTTGAAAAAATGCCTAACCACTTGTATAATCTATTTGCATACACTTCAAAACAGACATACATACCCCACCAGAAACACCACTATGGGTTCCTTCATGGTACCCAAACCAAAAGCAAATTTAATGCGTCGCTCAGTTATGTATAGAGCCATGTCATCGTGGAATGCTCTGCCACCAGAGGTTACTCAGGCAAAAAGCAGGTTTAGCTTAAAAAACAGATATAAAAAAATATACATTGTATCACAGCGCCTCTTTCTAAAGATCTAATTGAACTGTACTGTATATAAGACTATGATAATGTATAAGGGTCTTTCTATAAACTAGGGTACCAGTGGGGATGTCTTACGTTGGACAACTTGTTACAGCTGTTGATAAGTCATTGATAATAATCTGCCAATTTTTTTCATGTCATTACATTAAGATATACAGTTGAAGTCACCTTCCGGAGACATTTGAAACCCCACCTCTTTAAGGAATACCTGGGATAGGATAAAGTATTCCTTCTAACCCCCCCACCCCCAAATTGTAAAGTGGTTATCCCACTGGCTATAGGGTGAACGCACCAATTTGTGAGTCGCTCTGGCTAAGAGCGTCTGCTAAATGACGTTAATGTGCCCTTGAGCAAGGCACTTAACCCTAATTGCTCCTGTAAGTCGCTCTGGATAAGAGTGTCTGCTAAATGACTAAAATGTAAATGTAAATAAGTCGGAAGTTTACATACACCTTAGCCAAATACATTTAAACTCAGTTTTTCACAATTCCTGACATTTAATCCTAGTAAAAATTCCCCCTTAGGTCAGTTAGGATCACCACTTTATTTTAAGAATGTGAAATGTCAGAATAATAGTAGAGAGAATGTATTTATTTCAGCTTTTATTTCTTTCATCACATTCCCAGTGGGTCAGAAGTTTACATACACTCAATTAGTATTTGGTAGCATTGCCTTTAAATTGTTTAACTTGGGTCAAACTTTTCGGGTAGCCTTCCACAAGCTTCCCACAATAAGTTGGGTGAATTTTGGCCCATTCCTCCTGACAGAGCTGGTGTAACTGAGTCAGGTTTGTAGGCCTCCTTGCTAGCACACACTTTTTCAGTTCTGCCCACACATTTTCTATAGGATTGAGGTCAGGGCTTTGTAATGGCCACTCCAATACCTTGAAATACATCCACAGGTACACCTGTGACTCAAATTATGTCAATTAGCCTATCAGAAGCTTCTAAAGCCATGACACCATTTTCTGGAATTTTCCAAGATTTTTAAAGGCACAGTCAACTTAGTGTATGTAAACTTCTGACCCACTTGATTTGTGACAAAGTGAATTAAAGTGGAATAATCTGTCTGTAAACAATTGTTGGAAAAAGTACTTGTGTCATGCATAAAGTAGATGTCCTAACTGACTTGCCAAAACTATAGTTTGTTAACAAGAAATTTGTGGAGTGGTTGGAAAACAAGTTTGAATGACTCCAACCTAAGTGTATGTAAACTTCCGACTTCAACTGTAGGGGGGGGGATCATAGATGTATTCAATAAAATTCACAAATTGATTTAAAACCTTTATCATGGTTGGTGTCATGACGGATTTGTCCAAAATCATGTGACATAAAACATTACTTTTCTGTCCTTCCATGTATAGCAATATAAGTTGTCCTTATATCATATATTAATCATTAGTCAGTTAAATTAGACATTGAACTTTAACCCTGTAAGAATCCTGGATCAAGCTGTCTGACAATTTTTTGTATAGAGATCTCAGAAATGCAGTGTAACTACGTAACATTTCGTGTCTCCTTATGTTACGGGGTGAAAACAGTTTTTCACGGGCACACAAATCCCAAATAATGTACACATTGCAAAATCGAATGGTTCTAACCGAAACAGTCACCTTACCTTGATACTTAAAACCTAAATCGATACTGTCATTAACGTGGTTCTTCAATATTTATGCATAATACTCGCTGGATGCGCATTTGGTGTCCAGCTGATTAGTTATCTCTTTACTCATCATCATCATCATCATCTGATCCAAAGTGCTGGAAAAAAAGGTGTTCGCAAGGAATGTCCAGAATATTTGTGTGTCTCATTCGTTACGCCGGTGAAGACAGTTGTGCCTGGATCCATGTTGGATCTAATATCCCTAGCGGATTGATGTTGGTCATCTGTTGTTGTCTGCTTGATTTACAGCAGGGTCTCGTTAGGTTTAAGAGAAAGCATCAAGGTAATACATGTATGTTTTCATATGTTTTTGTGCCTGGGATTGGACACAGAGTCTACCGTGTGCAATTGTGTAGGATAGACTACTGCACAACACCCAACGCTCTTCCTATTAATTATTCTGGATATAATTAACACAATATAATCTGGTAATGAAATAACATGACAAATACATTTTGTTTTTTCATGTTAGACCTGCAATTTCTGAAGTAGCCTAGAATTTGGAGCTCAGAAATTAAAGTACTGGAATAAGCCTACCTTGAAAATCTGACATTTCCTCAATTTGAAAAGTCCTTGTAATTATTGCAGCCAATTTTTCTGCTGCTCCCTTATAATTATCAGAGATTTCATTTTTTATCCGTTTTTGTGAGAGATGTGGCCACTTTCGTTTGTTTCCCACCACTTCAATTAGAGGGTGTTGCGCTACTCTGATGCGATAAAACAACGTGCGGTTATTACGACGACGACGTCTAATGTTGGCTTCAACTTGGCTTTCCGTACAAATCCTTCCATAAAAAAAAGGAACCTGTTTAGTCAGGCAACGTCCTAATTATTCTCGCATATTTTAGAATGTAATAATAATTTGAATATCAATGCATTGGCAAGGCTTAAAACATTCATTATTCTTAAAGTGGTAATGGCCTACTTTTTTCATGCTTTTTGCATGCTTTCTTTTTTTTTTTGGGGGGGGGGGTTCTATATTAGGTCATATATGTACAATGATATAAAATTATATAAAATTATATACAATTATACAATTATATAAAAGTATACAATTGTATAACATTGAGGTCCTTAAAAAGTACAATTAAGTGCTTGAAAAAGTCCCTGAAAATCCTTGAATTTGACTTGCCAATGTCTGTATAATCCCTGCTTAAAGGATGTATAATCCTTGTGCAATTTGCATATATTCACTTTTATTCCATGTGGAACTGAATGAAAATCCTTTTTATTTTTGTTTCAAAACATTTTGAAATGTCGATCCCAATGTCACACATTGGCTCCATTATTTATAGAAAGACCCATATAGGAATAGTGTGCAAATAGTATTTTTGTCTTTCAAATATATAACTATTTTTATATATTTGAAAGACAAAAAGATTTTTAAAAAAGAGTAATATCTTATGTGGTTCTTGTCTATAACTGTTCCGTACTTTGTAATGTATTTGTACGTTTCATGTGGACCCCAGGAAGAGTAGCTGCTGCATGTGCTGTAGCTAATGGACCCCAGGAAGATTAGCTGCTGCATGTATTGTAGCTAATGGGGATCCTAATTAACTAAACACTACAGTGTCCAGTTATGGCTCTTTTAGCCTCTGTGTGTGTGTCGGTGTCTCTGTGTTTGTGTGTGTGTGTTCATGTGTTTGTGTGTGTTTGTGTGTGTGTGTGTGTGTGTCCGTGCGCACTCTGGTCAAATATGATTTAACAGGATTGAAGACAGGGAGCTCTCTTTATTGTTTCATGCCAGTGATGGGAGTGGAATGTGGTTGGCTGAGAATCTGGGATGGGAAGTAATCTTGTTGGGAAACCTAAGCTGGACGAACAGTGTCTGCAGGGCTAACTCCTGCCTTCCCATAAACCCAGGCTCACAGACAACACACTGGGATAGGCCGGCGGGATTAAGGGTCACTGTGGCGTTATGGGATTTCATTCACCCTGCCACTTGGTCAAAGACAAAATAAATTGGTGCTTATGAGAGGATGGTTGCCCATAACAACAGGGAGGGGGGGGGGAATCTATCATAGAAATGTGGTCCTCGTCAGTGGGTCGACAAATGGAGGAGGAAAAGTAAATATCCTAGGAAATATATACTAGAGAATTTGAGGATGGATTTTTGGTCAGCTCCTTAAATCGTATCGCTGGTTTGATTTCCGAGCCCTAGACTGAGGAACACCGGAATTTGCAAATTGCAAACAACACATCCGGTGTGTGACAATACAGTATATTTTTTTAACTACATTTCATTACTTTATGACATTTAACAAATCACTTGCATTGGACCAAGTGTGTGTAACCAGATTCCTTTAAGATTTGGGTAAAGAATACTCACCGATATAGGCATCCCTGGTTGTCGGTACTGGAACGGCCACACACAAGTAGGTGTCAGACTGAAACGACACAGGACACAGTGTGAGAACCGCTGCTTTGCTTAGTTACAGAGCAAAGAAAGTAAATAAAGTTATGTTTAAAAAAAAAAAAAGTGTTAAAGAGTTTTAAAATAAATAAAGTGTTAAAATAAAGTGTTTAATATAAATAAAGTGTTTAAAATAAATAGCGTTTAAATAAAGTGATAAAATAAATAGCATTAAAATAAATAAGTGTTTAAAATAAATAGTGTTACACATAAATAAAGTGTTGAAATATAAAGTCTTACAAATAAATAAAATGTACAAAAATAAATAATGACTGATCATCTTTCAGAGTACATTTATCATATTCTGCTTGTTTATAATCCATCAACAAGCAATCAATATTGTTTGTATTGATATATACAGCTGCCGGTTTGTTTAGCATCTAATCCAGATCGTAAACACTGTTTCACCATGACAGATTCTCTAAAACTCAAAGAGAGTCCTCTGACTCACTTGGGGAGCTAGGAGATATTAGGTGGACTACCGAGCGCAGATACTAAAGCAAAAGGAAAGTCCTCGCTCGCTTGAAGTCGGCCAGTGTAATATATGAGCAAACATGACACTTAAATCACCCTGGCGCCGACCTTGCGTAACACAGGGAGAACTATATTTCCGGAGGGGAGAGAAGACAATAGCACTTCATCCAGACAAAAGATATGACATAGAGCTCTGTGTCCAACCCTGGAGCATCTCTCTCTCTCTCTCTCTCCTGTTGAGTGACCTCTTCATCTGCGGACGAGTTTAAACACGTCTACAGTGACTGAAAATAACTCTGCTCTCATTTGTTTCTTCTTTCTCATTGTTCCTCAGGTCTCCAGCAGCTTAGCCTACATGTGACGTTCATTGTCGTTGCTTCAATAACAACTAGTGGGCGTTGAGTGGAGGGGAGAGGGAAAAAATGGCAGCCGTAGTTTCCTGGGAACAGCCGTTTTAGTGACATATTTGTAATAAACATGACAGGAAGTCATTTCCAGGGAAATGTTTCAATTGCTTAGTTATAGCTGATGGCTTTCGGCTGTCATTTATCATTCTTTGGGCTTCTATTCTCCTGCTTCAGGAACACGGTCAAATGATTAAATCAATTCCAGGGGACTGAATTCCCTTCTCTCTCTCGCTGTGATGGCTGTATCTAACTCAGAGTTATTGTAAAAGGTCAGCGTGCGTGTTTCTTTCTTGGCATAGCTGGCTCTCTTTCAAAATGGTGTCTCATCAGTTGAGAATTCTCCAGAAAAATTCTGGCAGAATGACAACTTGATGTGGGACTATTAGAACAAAATAGAACCGAGGCCCATGTTTAATGACCAGATTCATAATAAATGCCATAGCCAAAAATCTAATTACAGACGAACACTGGTCGATCTCAAATTCCCATTTTACACTAATGAGCCAAGCCAAACCATGCTGTACTGGGCTGGTTACACATCCACCATAGTTGCTGAACCTTAATGCTGAACATTAAAATAGAAAGAACCCATCTGAGCCAACAGAGTACAAGTCAGATCCACACAACAGTGTGAAAAAGGTACAGTTATAATAAGGTTGACAAAAGAAGCTTCGGAGAAAGTGAAGAAACACTGGCTCAATGCTAACTGATGAAGAACCAGTGAACTGGCTCAATGCTAACTGATGAAGAACCAGTGAACTGGCTCAATGCTAACTGATGAAGAACCAGTGAACTGGCTCAATGCTAACTGATGAAGAACCAGTGAACTGGCTCAATGCTAACTGATGAAGAACCAGTGAACTGGCTCAATGCTAACTGATGAAGAACCAGTGAACTGGCTCAATGCTAACTGATGAAGAACCAGTGAACTGGCTCAATGCTAACTGATGAAGAACCAGTGAACTGGCTCAATGCTAACTGATGAAGAACCAGTGAACTGGCTCAATGCTAACTGATGAAGAACCAGTGAACTGGCTCAATGCTATGATGAATGGCGCCTGAGAGGATGGCTGCCGTTTTACAGCCCTCTAACCAATTGTACTATTATGTGTGTTTTTTCGCGTTATTTGTAATTTATTCTGTACATAATGTTTCTGCCATCGTCTCTTATAACCAAAAAGAGCTTCTGGATATCAGGACAGCGATTACTCACATCGTATTGGACGAAGATTTTCAACATGTCCCTGACTGAGTCTGTAATACCAACATGTTTCAAGCAGACCACCACAGTCCCCGTGCCCAAGGATACTAAGATAACCTGCCTAAATGACTACCGACCCGTAGCACTGACGTCTGTAGCCATGAAGTGCTTTGAAAGGCTGGTCATGGCTCACATCAACACCATTATCCCAGAAACCCTAGACCCACTCCAATTTGCATACCGCCCCAACAGATCCAAAGATGATGCAATCTCTATTGCACTCCACACTGCCCTTTCCCACCTGGACAAGAGGAACACCTACGTGAGAATGCTATTCATTGACTACAGCTCAGCGTTCAACACCATAGTGCCCTAAAAGCTCATCACTAAGCTAAGGATCCTAGGTCTAAACACCTCCCTCTGCAACTGGATCCTGGACTTCCTGACGGGCCGCCCCCAGGTGGTAAGGGTAGGTAACAACACATCTGCCACACTGATCCTCAACACGGGGGCCCCTCAGGGGTGCGTGCTCAGTCCCCTCCTGTACTCCCTGTTCACCCATGACTGCATGGCCAGGCACGACTCCAACACCATTGTTAAGTTTGCCGACGACACAACAGTGGTAGGCCTGATCACCGACAATGATGAGACAGCCTATAGGGAGGAGGTCAGAGACCTGGCCGTGTGGTGCCAGGATAACAACCTCTCCCTCAACGTGACCAAGACAAAGGAGATGATTGTGGACTACAGGGAAAAAAAAGAGGACTGAGCACGCCCCCATTCTCATCGACGGGGCTGTAGTGGAACAGGTTGAGAGCTTCAAGTTCCTTGGCGAACTATCATGGTCCAAACACACCAAGACAGTCGTGAAGAGGGCACGACAAAGCCTATTCCCCCTCAGGAGACTGAAAAGATTTGGCATGGGTCCTCAGATCCTCAGAAAGTTCTACAGCTGCACCATCGAGAGCATCCTGACTGGTTGCATCACCGCCTGGTATGGCAACTGCTCGGCCTCCGACTGCAAGGCACTACAGAGGGTATGCGTATGGCCCAGTACATCACTGGGGCCAAGCTTCCTGACATCCAGGACCTCTATACCAGGCGGTGTCAGAGGAAGGCCCTCAAAATTGTCAAAGACTCCAGCCACCCTAGTCATAGACTGTTCTCTCTGCTACCGCACGGCAAGCGGTACCGGAGCGCCAAGTCTAGGTCCAAAAGGCTTCTCAACAGCTTCTACCCCCAAGCCATAAGACTCCTGAACAGCTAATCATGGCTACCCAGACTATTTGCACTGCCCCCCCACCCCCACCCCATCTTTTTACGCTGCTGCTACTCTGTTAATTATTCATGCATAGTCACTTTAACTCTACCCACATGTACATATTACCTCAACTAGCCGGTGCCCCCGCATATTGACTCTGCACCGGTACCCCACTGTATATAGCCTCCCTACTGTTATTTTATTTTACTTCTGGTCTTTTTTTTCCTCAACACTTTTTTGTTGTTGTTGTTTTATTTTACTTTTTTATAATAAAAAAAAAATGCATTGTTGTTTAAGGGCTGTAAGTAAGCATTTCACGGTAATGTCTACACCTGTTGTATTCGGCGCATGTGGCAAATAAAATTTGATTTGATTTGATTTAATCTGATGAAGAACCAGTGAACTGGCTCAATGCTATCTGATGAAGAACCAGTGAACTGGCTCAATGCTATCTGATGAAGAACCAGTGAACTGGCTCAATGCTATCTGATGAAGAACCAGTGAACTGGCTCAATGCTATCTGATGAAGAACCAGTGAACTGGCTCACCGCTATCTGATGGGCCAGTGAACTGGCTCACCGCTATCTGATGGGCCAGTGAACTGGCTCACCATTATCTGATGGACCAGAGAACCGACTCAATGCTATCTGATGAAGAACCAGTGAACTGGCTCACCGCTATCTGATGGGCCAGTGAACTGGCTCAACGCTATCTGATGGGCCAGTGAACTGGCTCACTGCTATCTGATGGACCAGAGAAAGGGCAATTCCCGATAGATCTGGGGTGGACAAACTACGGCCCGCGAGCCCATTCAATCCAGCCCCTTGGACGTATCACAAAAAAATTAAAGATATAGATATTAATTTTTGGGATAAAAAAACAACACTCCAGACCACTCTTACATGTCTAAAACTAGATACAAAAATATCCAGAAATTATAAAATGGGCCTTTTTCTGCGCCGCAAGTTGATTTTTACAAACCCATCGGTCCCCAAAAAAATCTGTGCGTCCATCCGTTGAATTTCTAAATCACGATGTGGCCCTTGAGCCACAAAGTTTGCCCACCCCTGCGATAGATCAATAGCACAACAGTGCGAGCTGACCACTTAGTTAAGAGAGTTTAAGGTTTGTCTTCTCTGCGATGTTCTACAACCCAGTAATCCCCCTTCAGCATTCACAGTTATCAGCCAACACTTGCCATGGATGAATCATTGGCGGATGACTCATACAGACCTGCACTGAGAACAATAATAGCTCGCCCTCCCCTCCTCCCTCAACGCTCTCATACACAACCAAAACATTCCCAAGAAGACGCAAAGCCCGGAGCCCAATTACAACAGTTCTGCCATCGTGTACAAACTGAACTCTAACTGTTTCTCACTAGCCTAAAAACAGCCTTGGCTTTTGGAGAGAGAGACAGCGAGAGAGAGAGAGAGAGAGAGAGACAGCGAGAGAGAGACAGCGAGAGAGAGAGAGAGAGAGAGAGACAGCGAGAGAGAGAGAGAGAGAGAGAGAGAGAGAGAGAGAGAGAGAGAGCGATAGAGAGCGATAGAGAGCGAAAGAGAGCGAGGGGGGGAGAGAGGACAGAGAGGACAGAGTGATAAACCAGAGATCTTCCCCTCTGTGGTTTTCTCTGCACATTGCAGCAGCAGGAAAAAGAACGGAGGCTGAGGAGCCAATTAGCTCTAGCCTGCAACAGTGAGTCAACTTTAATGACTGCATTACTGTAGGATCAATACGGGCCACACAAACAGGGCAGGAGGACTGGCCCCCGACACAACCCCATGACACAATCATGTACAGCCACATGCTGAGAGAGAAAAACATTGTATGGCCACCATCAACATACCTCCCTGATATGAACCAAGCTTAGCGGTGGTGAACAGGATTTTCTGCATGTAGGAAGGAGATGTCTGCCAAGTCTATGAATATTAATGTATCAGTCATTGTCTAACCTTTATTTGCCGATCGAAGTCTCGATAAAATCTCTGACACAAGAGACCTAAATGCTAGCCAGACTAATTTAATCAAAATGGTTGTATAGTCTATCAGGCTATGTAGACTAGTGTAGGTAGTGTTCTTTGAAAACATATGTAAATAAATGTTAAACTGAACCATCAAATCATTGAGCGGAAATAAACTAGATCTGACAGACACTGTGTGAATATGAATATGAAATGTTAATGGGCTGGTTTGGGTTTTCCACAGGGTTGTTTTGACTGTCAGAAACATGGGGACTCACCGTCGTGGGGGACACCCCCGGCATGCGGACATCCAGGGAAAAGTTGCCTGATTTGGACAGGACCATGGGTTGTCTTGTCCTGGTTGTGCAGTCGTTGGGCTCCGAAGAGGCACTTTCCCGATACCTGTCCGATGGGGACAACAGTGAGAGAAGAGGTTGTTAGTGGAAAGCGACAAGACAACCTCAGAGCAGACTATTGCTAGTGAGTGTACCTAACAGCCTGATGAGTTGAGGAACTCCTAATGATGAGAGTGGAACTTTGGAGCTAAAGAGCTTCACACACAATCACCAAATACCACATCACCAAATACCACATCACCAAATACCACATCACCAAACACCACATCACCAAACACCACATCACCAAACACCACATCACCAAACACCACAGCACCAAAACACCACCAAAACCACAGCACCAAAACCACATCACCAAAACCACATCACCAAAACCACAGCACCAAACACCACACACCAAACACCACACACCACACCACATCACCAACCACATCACCAAACACCACCAAATACCACATTACCAAACACCACATTACCAAACACCACATTACCAAACACCACATTACCAAACACCACATCACCAAACACCACATCACCAAACACCACATCACCAAACACCACATCACCAAATACCACATCACCAAACACCACATCAACAAATACCACATCAAACACCACATCACCAAACACCACATCACCAAACACCACATCACCAAACACCACATCACCAAACACCACATCAGAATCAAGAGGGAAATGGAGAGAACATCTCCAGACAAGTAGGGTCTCTTAGAGAAGAAAATATCCTAAAAGTAGTTTAAATGAAGATACAATTGTTTATAGAATATAGAATTACTTATAGGCCAATCTGCAATTGACTGAATTGACTGATACTAATCTACCCAAAAGGCTATTTGTGTGGTCACCGTGTCTGTTCATGCTGTAGCCACCTCCTGTGTCATTTATTTGTTCATCATACAGTCATATTATTATTATATTATATTATACAAACATGGCCCAAACAGATCCGGCTTCCAGTACCTTGTACCTACAGCAGGCTAACTGCCTACTGCAAACATGTTTTAAATGCTATATAATTGCATAACAAACAATAAAGAAGTGCATAAATTCAACATTGATCCAAAAAATATTAACTTCAAAAACATTAATGTAAAACAGAATTATTTTGAAGACAAAATTGCATTAAACCTATTAAATCTATTCATTTCATTAGTACACAGCTATCTCAACTTAATTTCAACTTCTAATACATAAACTGATTCAATAGCCATTTCAATTCCATTTCAAAACCAAAAGCATCACTGTCCGTCCCCTTACCTTTTAAACCTGTGCAGGGAGTTTGTGGCACCGTCCAGGCTTTGACAGACGAGCGCCAGCACCACCACGCCGCAAACGAGGACTCCCATCTCTGACTCTAGCCTCTTGTCAAGTGCTCCCTATCCCAACGTCTAGCCTGCCTGGTTAACTGTAGAAGACTGGGCGCTGAGCAGAGCGTCACAGTGCTGTGTATGGGATCAGCTGTGGAGCCTCACTGACGCTGAGCGAGAGAGAGAGAGAGGAAGTAGCCAAACAAACAGTAGCAGGTCCCGGATCTGGGTTAAGACAGAAGGGAGAGCCAGATGGAAGGGTTGTTCCTGTTGGCAGTTCACACGCTGGGGACTGAAGAAGGAGTAGGAGGAGGTTGTGGCTGTGGCTGTGGCTGTGGCTGTGTCTGTGGCTGTGGCTGTGGCTGTGGCTGTGGCTGTGTCTGCGTGCGTCGCTCCTCTTCTCCAGGCTCCAAGCCACCAGGGCTAGGTGTTCATTAGTTTTTTCCTCTGCCTTTCCCAGTGAACTGAGCACTCAGAGGCGGGACTCCCTCTAGCGCTCCCTCCCTCCTCAAAGCTCCTCTTCTCTTCAGTCTTCTCGTCTGGTCAAGTGGCTGTAACGCGGCACCTTTCCACTCTCCTTAGCACCCAAGTTATCCAGCGAGAGAGAAGAGGCGAGTAAATGTGAGGAGCGCCTGAGATGAAAGGAAGAGGATCTCAGAGTAGATGAAGGGAGGAGGTGAGGAGGGCGTAGCGTCAGTCTCCAGTCACAACCTGTAAAAATAGAAGCAGACGTGCTCAACAAGAGAGGGGAGGGGGGGGGGGGGTATCTAGATGACTAACGTGCCACTGACTGTGCCTGTCTGCCTGCTAGCGCAAACCGCTACCCCCCCCCCCCCCCAAAGCTAACGCTCCTGCGGGTTCTTTAATATACTCCCATTATCATAAGAGGCAACACGGAAACGCTAATCGTTAGTGTTAGTGCCCATCCCCTCAGATGATTCAGCAGCCAAAGGGGGTTGAGTTGAGGGGGGGGGGGGGGGGTGATGGTTGGTTGGGAATCATATGCTATCTCTCCTTGCCTTTCAATTTCATTAAATATAGATGACTGTGTACACACTCTGCAGTGCTGTTACTGTGCTGAATCCGCGGACAGTAGCAGCTTCTGTTTACTCTAGCGGAGGGATAGATGGTAGAAAGGGAGGGGTAGAAGGGAGAGATAGAGAAGCCGCAGTAATCCAATCAGAGATTTCCCCGGCAAAGAGGACTCGCACCCTTATTAAGGAGATCCAGTTGGTCACCAACAGGAACAGACAGCTAGTATAGAAAACAATGTCAAGGAGACCTATTCTATACCTTACTATAATATACCTTACTATACATTACTATATCTTACTATACATATATCTTACTACACCTTAGTATATCTTACTATACTATATCTTACTATACTATATATATATATCTTACTACACCTTAGGGCCTCCTGTAGCTCAGTTGGTAGAGCATGGCGCTTGCAACGCCAGGATTGGGGTTCGATTCCCACGGGGGGCCAGTATAAAAAAATGTATGCACTCACTAACTGTAAGTCGCTCTGGATAAGAGTGTCTGCCAAATGACTAAAATGTAAATGTAAATGTATATCTTACTATAGTATATCTTACTGTATCTTACTATACTACACTGAACAAAAATATAAACGCAATATGCAACAATTTTAAAGATTTGCCTGAATTACAGTTCATATCAGGAAATCAGTCAATTGAAATACATGTACACTGCTCAAAAATATAAAGGGAACACTTAAACAACACACTGTAACTCCAAGTCAATCACACTTCTGTGAAATCAAACTGTCCACTTAGGAAGCAACACTGATTGACAATAAATTTCACATGCTGTTGTGCAAATGGAATAGACAACAGGTGGAAATTATAGGCAATTAGCAAGACACCCCCAATAAAGAAGTGGTTCTGCAGGTGGTGACCACAGACCACTTCTCAGTTCCTATGCTTCCTGGCTGATGTTTTGGTCACTTTTGAATGCTGGCGGTGCTTTCACTCTAGTGGTAGCATGAGACGGAGTCTACAACCCACACAAGTGGCTCAGGTAGTGCAGCTCATCCAGGATGGCACATCAATGCGAGCTGTGGTAAGAAGGTTTGCTGTGTCTGTCAGCGTAGTGTCCAGAGCATGGAGGCGCTACCAGGAGACAGGTCAGTACATCAGGAGACGTGGAGGAGGCCGTAGGAGGGCAACAACCCAGCAGCAGGACCGCTACCTCCGCCTTTGTGCAAGGAGGAGCAGGAGGAGCACTGCCAGAGCCCTGCAAAATGACCTCCAGCAGGCCACAAATGTGCATGTGTCTGCTCAAACGGTCAGAAACAGACTCCATGAGGGTGGTATGAGGGCCCGACGTCCACAGGTGGGGGTTGTGCTTACAGCCCAACACTGTGCAGGACGTTTGGCATTTGCCAGAGAACACCAAGGTTGGCAAATTCGCCACTGGCGCCCTGTGCTCTTCACAGATGAAAGCAGGTTCACACTGATCACATGTGACAGACATGACAGAGTCTGGAGACGCCGTGGAGAACGGTCTGCTGCCTGCAACATCCTCCAGCATGACCGGTTTGGCGGTGGGTCAGTCATGGTGTGGGGTGGCATTTCTTTGGGAGGCCGCACAGCCCTCCATGTGCTCGCCAGAGGTAGCCTGACTGCCATTAGGTACCGAGATGAGATCCTCAGACCCCTTGTGAGACCATATGCTGGTGCGGTTGGCCCTGGGTTCCTCCTAATGCAAGACAATGCTAGACCTCATGTGGCTGGAGTGTGTCAGCAGTTCCTGCAAGAGGAAGGCATTGATGCTATGGACTGGCCCGCCCGTTCCCCAGACCTGAATCCAACTGAGCACATCTGGGACATCATGTCTCGCTCCATCCACCAACGCCACGTTGCACCACAGACTGTCCAGGAGTTGGCGGATGCTTTAGTCCAGGTCTGGGAGGAGATCCCTCAGGAGACCATCCGCTACCTCATCAGGAGCATGCCCAGGCGTTGTAGGGAGGTCATACAGGCACGTGGAGGCCACACACACTGCTGAGCCTCATTTTGACTTGTTTTAAGGACATTACATCAAAGTTGGATCAGCCTGTAGTGTGTTTTTCCACTTTAATTTTGAGGGTGACTCCAAATCCAGACCTCCATGGGTTGATAAATTTGATTTCCATTGATAATTTTTGTGTGATTTTGTTGTCAGCACATTCAACTATGTAAAGAAAAAAGTATTTAATAAGATTATTTCATTCATTCAGATCTAGGATGTGTTGTTTAAGTGTTCACTTTATTTTTATGAGCAGTGGATTAGGCCCTAATCTATGGATTTCATGACTGGTAATACAGATATCCATCTGTTGGTCACAGATACCTTTAAAAAAATGTAGGGGCGTGGATCAGAAACCAGTCAGTATCTGGTGTGACCACCATTTGTCTCATGCAGCGCGACACATCTCCTTCACAAAGAGTTGCTCAGGCTGTTGATTGTGGCCTGTGGAATGTTGTCCCACTCCTCTTCAATGGCTGTGCGAAGTTGCTGGATATTGGCGGGAACTGGAACCCGCTGTCGTACACGTCGATCCAGAGCATCCCAAACATGCTCAATGGTTCACATGTCTGGTAAGTATGCAGTCGATGGAAGAACTGGGACATTTTCAGCTTCCAGGAATTGTGTTCAGATCCTTGCGACATGGGGCCGTGTATTTTCATGCTGAAACAAGAGGTGACATCAGCAAACTGCTCGCCCACACGACGCCATACAAGCTGTCTGCCATCTGCCCTGTACAGTTGAAACTATACCTTACTATACCATACTATATCTTAGTATACCTTACTATATCGTACTATACTATATCTTACTATACTATATCTTACTATGCTATAATGTCTTGTGAGTATGCAGTCCATGGAAGAACTGGGACATTTTCAGCTTCTAGGAACTATGTACAGATCCTTGGGGCTGTGCATTATCATGCTGAAACATGAGGTGATGGCGGCGGATGAATGGCATTTAAATTGCCATCGATAAAATGCAATTGTGTTCATTGTCTGTAGCTTATGCCTGCCCATAACATAACCCCATCGCCACCATGGGGCACTCTGTTCAAAACGTTGACATAAGCAAACTGCTCGCCCACACGACGCCATACAAGCTGTCTGCCATCTGCCCGGTACAGTTGAAACCGGGATTCTTCTGTGAAGAGCACACTTCTCCAGTGTGCCAGTGGCCATCGAAGGTGAGCATTTTCCCACTGAAGTCGGTTATGACGCCGAACTGCAGTCAGGTCAAGACCGTGGTGAGTACGACGAGCATGCAGATGAGCTTCCCTGAGACGGTTTTTGACAGTTTGTGCAGAAATTCTTCAGTTGTGCAAACCCACAGTTTCAACAGCTGTCCGGGTGGCCGGTCTCAGACGATCACGCAGGTGAAGAAGCCGAATGTGGAGGTCCTGGACTGGTGTGGTTACACGCGGTCTGCGGTTGTGAGGCCGGTTGAACGTACTACCAAATTCTCTAAAACTCAGTTGGAGGCCGCTTATGGTTGAGAAATTAACATTAAATTATCTGGCAACAGCTCTGGTGAAAATTCCTGCAGTCAGCATGCCAATTGCACGCTCCCTCAAAACTTGGCTCATCTGTGGAATTGTGTTGTGTGACAAAACTGCACGTTTTAGAGTGGCCTTTTATTGTCCCCAGCACAAGGTGCATCTGTGTAATCATGCTGTTTAATCAGCTTCTTGATAGGCCACACCTGTCAGATGGATGGATTATATTGGCTAAGGATAAATGTTCACTGACAGGGATGTAAACAAATTTGTGCACACAATTTGAGAGAAATAAGCTTTTTGTGAGAACATTTCTGGGATCTTTTATTTCAGCTCATGAAACATGGGACCAACACTTTACATGTTGTGTTTATATACCTTCCTATAGTATACCTTACTATACTATATCTTCCTATACCATTTCTTACTATACTATATCTTACTATACTTGGGTCACGACAGGTGTGTGATATTGATGCAAGCCTATTGATATTCCTCCTTACAG